GGATTACACTTCACCACATACTCCAGCACTTGTCTTGCTTCAGGCTCCAGCTCGCTGTGATCGAAAGGACAGTTTAGCGTGGTGCAGCGCTGCTGCAGGTGGAATGTGTTGCAGGGTTTTGCTTTGGCGAAGCGCGCGTTGTAGGTTTTCCAGGCGGGGGGAGGGGGCATGGGGAGGTGGGGGTCGAGGCGTTGGTGCGAGGTGTTTAGGGGGATGAAGCCGGGGATTGGGGCGGCGGGGAGGAGGGTGGATAGCGGTGTGATGTCCGGGTTGTTTCGTTGTGAGGATTGAGATGAGAGTGGAAGGGAAGGATAAGGCGCTCCTGAGGGCCCTCTTGGTGGTTGGGAAGGACCAGATCCGTTCGTCTCTGAGATGTTCTTGGGGATGTGGAGGAAGTTGCATTTGGTGCCGAAACGGCAGTTTCCTTTTTGGAAGTATTTGCAAAGTTGCGAGTTGTTTTCTGGTTTCGAAGAACCGTTTTTGGCTGTTTGGGTGTATGCTGAGCGGTCTTCCCAGCCTACTCGTTCTTGGTCGAAGAAACTGTTGGATTCTACCGGGGAGAGGTCGCCGAATGCGGAGTCGCTCATGCTGAAGGAGTCGTCTCGTCTCCATGATTCTTTGCGCGGAGTTGGTGTTCCGGGTGTGAGTATCGGTTTCTGTACTGCGGCTAGTGCCTTTTGTTTGGTTGCTGTTGATGGACCGCCTTTAGTTGTAGGCACGATGATGGGAAGTTCAGACCATCTAAAGACAGTCGGAAATTGTGTGACGTTCAAGTTGAACTGGTGGAACTCCGAGTTCCATCCAGCGCCTTGGACAAGGGTAATCTTGTCACGTACACCACTGAAGGGTACGAGTTGAGATAGATAAGCCGGATCGTGGCAAGCGGCGTACAAGATATGGCTGCACGCTGAGTCTTCAGAGGCAATCTTGAACTGTTCCCTGATCTTGAATTTGGCGCCTTCTTCGTCTAGAGCATCAACGAAGTCGAAGAGGCTGATGGCTCGGGTGAATGCAGCGGAGAAAGGAGACAGCGATCGCTTTTCCAAACCGACGAGTTTAGACCTTGCGAGTTGCTTAGATAGATTGGTCAAGTCTGCGTAGATCTTGACATGTATGCGAGCGGATCTGGCCTGTGGAACGCTTTGTTGCAGGTACTTTTCTATGGCGTCGTTGAGCATACGAGCAGCGCGCATTCCGCCCTCTTCTTTGTCGCGAATAAATTCATCGTTAAACTGGAATTTGTTAGCGCGAAACTTGATCGTTGGGATGATACTGACGATGTAGTTGTTGCCGTCTATTAACACCAAGACGTATGGGTTGCGAGCCGTTTTCGCCGCAGCTATGGTTGGTATAGGTATGCCTGGAGGCGCAGCGATAGTGCTCTTGCCTTTCTGTTCATAGGCTCTTTTTAGGTCTTTGTATTCGTCGAGTACTTGCCCATACTCTCTAAGGAGGTTCTAAGCGGGGTTAGCGGATCGCGGACTACCTAAATAGTGAGGACATCTCGGTATTGACTTACTGTTAGATCATTTTGCCTGGCCTGATCATTGAGTTTGAACTGTTCCAGGTGCGTATCTAACGAGTCGATCTTTCCGTCGGCTAGCATCTTGATGGTAGCGCGTCGTCGGTGCTGATGGCGAACGCGTCGGTGCCTTGACGGGGAGGTCCGCCAATTGCTTCGGGCAAGAGATACCAATGGCAAACAACCCACGGCAATTGCGAGTCAAATCTCGAAGGGATTTAGAATATCCCCATATCCGCAAACAATTTGCAAGTTGTTTCCGACGTAAACGCGTTGACAGCAAGCCATTCCGCGACGTGGGGCGGGGCTCCTGCTCCGCGTGTGCTAGCGCAGGCGCCTTAGCGTCAGGAGTCAGCTCCGCCTCCTTCACTCACCACTGTACTTGCACATTACAACTGCGACGACTTAGTCGTTCGATTTTTACGACCATTACGTTCCTCACGCACCCATATATGGGGGAACCTCGCAGATGTTGAAGCTGGGTATCGCTAAGAGCAGATCACACCCTACCTAGGTATGAATGCTTGTCGGTACCTGAAATTTGCCAGCGGAGACCCGGGAAGTTCACACGACCAGTGGATCAACAACGATGGAGTCGACAGCACAGTTCCAGCAGAGATGGACCTGTGATTGACGCGTTCAGACCGAGTTTATGATATCCAGTACAAGCAGAAAACTGATCTCTGCCACGTTTGGACAGAAGACTGTGGACGGCCTTCTTATGCTCACATCTTGCGTGCATAAAACACCGAGAAGAGCTTACGCCTTGACAGAAACATGAGCCGACAAAAAAATCCAGCCGATCGCGAAGCGGCCCATCGCCTTTCGCGTAGCCGGGGGCTATGGAAGATGGAGCACATACTCGAATACATGTGCTCTGTAGGTCTGGATGCGAGGACCCATCCAAAAGACTGCAGCCCTTGCGCTACTGTGCTGTTCACCGGCTGCGCCATGACATGATGTTTGTAGGCTTCTTCTGTCTGCCCTGGTCCTGGCCTGCATCTATTGGTGGTGAGCCAATTGTCATCCCACAGCTTGCATTCTTCCTATAGGCCCGTAGAGTCAAGCCCTCTGAAATAAGGCAGACTCGGCTAATGCCACATTGATAAGAGCCCTGCCGCAGTCGAGAAGGCTACTCTCAATGATCGTTACATTCATCTTCAGCCCAGGCTCAATCATTGGAAACACCCGACTACCATTTGCCATGACTTTCGTTTTCAAGGTCGCCAAATCAACAGATGCATTACTACAATCTGTCCAGGTCGGCCCGGCCGACATGCTCGCGACTGTTTCAGCGGCCCATTCAGCCTGGGGTTTCCTGAAAGGCTTGTCCGGGGTGAAAAGCCTGCTTGAGTTCCGCAAAGAGACGTTGAAAATTGAGAAGATGGAGACTCTTGATGTCAAGTTACAATTATCGCCACTCTCCGGATTAATCTTCACTTGCAATGGCCAGTTTTACGTAGCTAATGAGAACATCGAAGAGTCGTTCGACGGTGACCCAAGAACGCAGCTCATTGGCCTTACGATCTGTGCTTTGGCTCACGAATGCGGAGGATCGACCGCAATAGAGCTGTTCATGAAATGTCTAGGTCCCGCCCTCTTCGAAGAAGGGTTAATGCGGGATCAGATACACGGCCAGCTCGTGGAAAATCTCGACAAGATAATCAACGAAGGTGCAGCCAGAGGCCTGCCGCAACGATTCGTTACCGAGATCGAGTCCCTCGGTGTCCCCACCGGCGATCGAAAAAAACTGCGCCACCTCATACTTGCCGATGACGGATCTGAGATTGGGCTTGTTGGTGGACTCTTGGTGTGGATCGCGTCTCGAGACCGGGAAGCGTATCTGACGCGCAGCAGCCTCGTCACTCGTGTTGCTACACTCTTGAGAGCTGTAGGCTATAATATTGGGGAGGTGATCACATGGGATGGGGAAGGGGAGCAACCAATGGGGGACAAAGAGCTGGTCCTTGTCTTAGGTGGACACATGGAAACTGACAAGTTAAGGCTGAGTGACGATGAGCTGCCAAACGATCAGCAAATCCATCACTATAGATTGAATACCGTGGGAGCGCTGTTCTGTACAACATTGGAAACACAATCGGGTCTTATCCCGGAAGTTCTACAGTCTCGTTTCGAGGAGGTCTATCAATACATCCAGGAGCACTTGAGTTTCGTATGGAAGAGTGGGTATATTAAAGGCAGTCATGCTGCCAACATGGGACAGGTACAAGCTTGCCCGGTCTGGAAGAAATCAAAGATCGCATCCACTCCTTCTGCTCTACGGCTTGCCGCTTTCCATTTCCCGATAGCAGCCGAATGGCTAGCGCCTTGTTATGAGAAGATCGCGGGCTCTAAGGACTGGATCATCATTTTGGATCAGAAGCAGCGCTCAAGTATTGGATGGGAAACAGGCTTTCCACCCGCCTTGATCAATTTTCGCATCATCTCAGCTTCGATTCTCATATCGGTTGCCAGCAGATTAGCCCCAGAAGACTTTGAGAGCCTGCGCCACTCTATCAACATTGCTCTTGATACACCGGATTGGATAGCATCGATGAGCTCAATCATTGATAACGGTGTACATCCGGGTCATGAATCACAACCGAGCAGTCTTGGATTTCCATTGTGGAAAGCCGTACAGATATTGGCTGTGGTCCATGCAGCGTCAAGCCCAGATTGGGTGGACCAAGAAGCCGATGTCGACGTACGACGCATCATAGGCTGGAGGACTGGTGCGTACGCAGTCTTGCCGAGCCTACTCTTTGAGATGGCACCTACCGAAAAGGCAATCGGTATTCGTTGTCTCGACCAGTTTTGGGCAAACGCAGTTGTCCGCTCTCAAGGCGCCATTCACACACAAGACAAAACCATAATGTACGGACTGTCTATTGCGGCTGAATCTTCCAATATGAGCGACTCAGATACCGAGGCAAGCCTTCCCCTTGTGAACACTGGTGGCGAATGTCACTTCGGCACCGCAGTCACTCGTCCGGCTGATAGGGCCCTGTATCTCAGTCTAGAAAAGCCGGCGAGGCTACCGCTACATGACATTGCGATGTGCGGGCGCATTAACGGCGATTCTGTTGGGATAGTCTCGGTACTCTCGATCATTCAAACGCTTATCATCAGCTTAGAGGCTGCAAAACAGTGTCCTGGACATGCCACCAATACTGTAACCCAGACGGTGTATAACGTTCACACTTCGAACTGGTGTCAAAATCGAAACCAAAAGCCATGCTGGAAAGGTATGCCGACTGTGATATCAGCGCAGGAGCATCCTCTATGGGCAATCTTTCTTGCTGGTCATTCCGGATGGGGTATGTCTGGACGCATCTCTTTCGGTTGTTTTGATTGTGCTACAGTACAGGGCCAGAACAACTCTTTCATTGTAGGGTATACATAAGACATCACTGAGTTTAGAGTCGATGCATATAGTAAGGGCAGAAATGCAATGGCCTTAACCCAGTCTATCTCGCAACTATGCCCCGAAAGGAGGAATCATTTTGAGATCTGCGAATTCTCCAAGCACCTCCCTGATAGCGTCATTTGAATCCACAAACCCATGCCATCCCATCTTCCGCGCCTTGTTCATCGTGAGATCCAATGAAGATCCCATCAAGCCGCCGTCCGTAAACCCGAAGATGCGGTCGATATCCATATCTTGAAGCTTGTCTACCTTGAGACCATATTTAGAAACGATCTCCTCCCATGCCTTCTGCACCTTCTCTTGCTTTGCCCAATCGGTCAGTGTGAAACGCACGCGCAGCTTTGCTGGTGGCCCAAAACCTCGCGGGGGCGGATCGTGCTTTGTGGTAATGACCGTGTAGGCACTTTCGTCCAGGCTGGGAGTCTCATAGCCGATGCCATACCAACCCGCGTACTTCGGCCAGAAATTGCCCCACGTAAAGGTCGTACCATCCATAGTATTGAACTTTTCGTTCTTCGCCCCATCATTAAGCACAGCCCATTGCTCCATGTACGCATTCATCTTGCTGCTCGACATGCATCTATTCGCCTCCCAAGCTTGCAGATCAGTCGGAAACTCAAGCTTCTCGCCTAGGTGTTTCTGCACACTTGCGTATACTCCGAGCGGAAAAACAAGGTTCATTGCGGCGTCTGGCACGGCGCCGAGGATACCCGCTGGCATGCATACATTCCAGTCGATACCCTGCTTTTTGCAGTAGTCCCAGAGAAAGTCTTCTTGTGGGTAGTAGAAGTTGGGTTCGAGAGTGACGCGTGGTGCTGTTTCTTCCTGGGGAGTAGCTGCAGGGCCGAGATGGATACCGTAGTTCTTTGCGCCGGTCTGGAGCATGATGCGCTTGGGCTTGATGTTGGCTATGGGGAGAGCTTCACAGAAGTTCTTGAGAAGGGCGGCTGCGGTACGTTAGTTTCGTATATTGGAAAGTCATAAATCAGCTAGCACGTACTGTTCACCTTGCACATCTCCTCGGCGTCGCTCCACAAGCCACCACCCTCTTTCGGCTTGACTTGAACGTATGAGTAGAAGAAGACGTAGTCAGCCTTGACGCCCTTCTCCTTCAGCACTTTCGCGATGTCCTCTGAATTCTGCAGGAAGTCAAGAGAGATATGCTCGGCATTCTTCGGTAGTCCATCGGGAATCGCGGGTGGTCGCCTTGACAAACAGTAGATCTTCGTCCATCGCTCGGGATCCTGCGCTAGCACACGCAGCATATAGTTACCAGAGATACCATTTGCCCCGGTTATAATGGCTGTAAGTCCTTTTAATGACGAGGGGTATACAGGTAGACCGTGGAAGATGCCTTTGCTTTCGACCAGCTGCTGATTGGACATTTTGGATGAAGCAGTGTAGAGGAAATGTGATGGAAAATAGAAATAACGGTACTGGGTTGCACAACAGTAAAATAGACGTTATACTCACTGATGCGGCGTGTTCGACAAATTGATGTCCGCCTGTACAACCTCGGATCATGACGTATTGCGGGGAAGTGCAGCAAGATCGATCTCGATAGCAGCAGTGCCGCACAACATACGGGTGGATACATGTGTGACGCATGCGATTCTCCAGTCGAACAGCGCATGCTTCTGTCATAATTTTCGCGTGGTGTATGCACATTCCATTATTATCTGTAGGGTTGTCGAAATTCTGATAGCGCGTCTAGTCGCGTCGAGACAACACTCTGCGTTTGATCGGCGATCTTATAAAAGAAGATGCTGATGTGGTGGCGACATGGAACACCGTGCAATAGATGGTAGACATCGTCTCTCTAGTCGTCGTACCTAGGTAGGTGGCTTGAAGATGAACCGAAGCGCGTACCTATGTACGCGTTTGGGTCGGAGCTTTAGCGCGGCGCTAAGCAGGGCCGATTGCCACAACTGCTACGCGACATTACACCTACACCTCTTGCCACAACGGCGCCCAATATTGACGCGATTGGGATCCATTTCTTGGAAGCATACATCGCAATATATCTATCGGTGCTGTTTGATGCGGCTTGCCTCCTCGGTCCTCAGCCTCCTAACACGCACGATCCAGCCAAACGAACGTTCGCAGCTCATCACATTTCCAAGAGGGTGATCCACGGAGTCTAATGTTTGGGATAACCTGCCAACTTCCATACATCAGTTAATATTCTTCCTCTTCATCTCAGTTGAAAGATCAGGGAATTCCAACACACGAGGCCAGCTCCTGGGTCAACCTACCGCTCGTGATTCCTACATTGCGACGAAGTGCTCGTTCGCAATAGCAGTTACCTTCTCGCATCTCTGGCGGAAATCTTCCATGATACCAAATTTGACCCAGGACACCATTCGATTTTTCAAATACGTACAGTCCGGGGAACGGCGTGGCTCAAAAGGTCTGGCAGGTGCGCCCGGCCGACACTGCCGCTCGCAGTTCATAGAGCATTACGACAGTCACTAGCGCGGTGCCCCAAGCAACTACCCGGCCGTACAATACTTCCGATGTGAACAGAGGTCAATATAAGCACGGTAAAACCATGGAAAAGGACATATCAAAACTTGTAGCCGTTCCTAATATCGCTTTCAGGCCAAAAGAGCAGCAAGTCTCACCGACGGACCAAGGTATACCAGAAACTTCCCGGAACAATGATACCTCCGAGAGTGACCCAGCTGACATTGCATGGGATTATGATGTATACGCCGCGCCTTTCGTTCCGCCAGGTCTCCAAGCAATCAACACCGAAGTGGCTACCATCATCAACACAAGACCTAGACATTGGATCGACTTTGAGAATTACGTGCATACATTCACCGGAACAAGCTTTATACCGCCACCATACGCGGAAGCTGAAGATTATACAATCAGATCAGCAGCGGATTTTCCTACGTCGCTGAATGAGTCCACCTATCTGCAACACTTCGACGTATCGGCCGCCATGGAGCGTGTAGCGAAGGAGAAAGAAAACGAATCATACGCGATGTATCAAGTCCCACTCTGGCAATACCAAGACCTGTGGTGCCTGACAGTGCCAGGACTAAGAGAAGATAACCCACACATTGAAATGGGCGACGTGCTTCAGATACGTCAACTGTATGTTAACGAAACAGGAGCCTTGACGTTGATGCCAAACTATGTGGATGATTACCAATTCGGATACATAGGAACTCCTTCAATAGTATTCAGGCCTTGGACAGGCGTACAGCACAATGCCGCAGTCTTCGGTGTCAACCGTGCGCAAGAAACAGTCTATTTCAAAGCAGATGGCCTCTGTCCACCGGTACCGCCCATGCGCATGTTCGCTAACGTCGTCATCCCACTGAAGTTCAACATCCTCCAAAGCCGGCGAAGAGCTTTGGCACACCTCAGCTCCAAGCTGAGACTCGTCGGATTTTCTCCACGAACACATGGCTATCTATCCTCAACCAGCAGCCTGAACCATTTTGGCGAATCGCCCGGTGCCAAATATGCCACACTTAACGCCGACGTCACGAGAGCCGCATCCCACGATTCTCATAACGATTGGAGTCTCCGAATCCTGTTTCCTGATGAATCTCATGGCGAAGTTCAAACTACACTGCGCAAAGTTCCCCATCGCAAGCTTTTCGATCGCGCTGTCAACTACGAACAAGCGCATGCTGTCAACGATATATGTACCAACATATATGGGACTGTGCCTTACTTGATCAGTGGACCGCCAGGTAAGGGAACAACTGTACGAATTGCATCCAGGACATACACTGACTTGTTATCCTAACCTTAACAGGTACAGGAAAGACAAAGACTCTGGTGGAGACGGCAATGCAACTGTTAAACACTACAGATGTCGCACACATGCTAATATGCGCTCCATCGGAGGCTGCGGCGGATACACTCGCCCTCAGGCTAAAGGAATATCTATCACGAAAAGAGCTATTCCGACTTAACCGACCAGGAAGGGCTGATAACGAGGTACCACGGGAGCTATTGCAGTACTGCCATATCGAGAACGACATGTTCTGTCTACCGCCATTCCAGGAGCTCATGGCTTTCAACATTGTAGTAACCTCTTGTCAAGACGCGGCGATACTGGCAGACGCAAGATTGACCAACAATGATCTCTGGACTATACAAAGGAATATGTCATCAGCTTTCAACCCGGACGACCAAACTCCCATTCCGAAGCTACATTGGAGCGCCCTACTCATAGACGAGGCAGCTCAAGCTACTGAACTAGACGTCTTGCCAGCCATTAGTGTTGTATGCCCACCATTCACGTATCCGGCCTCGCTGCCCCAACCACGCGTAGTGATGGCAGGAGATGAGAAGCAGCTGGGACCACGAACCGCATCCCGCAACCTTTTAGTACGCAGGTCCTTGTTCGCCCGGCTTTTCCAACGACCGCTATACGAGAACCACCCTCTCTCGCGCTCCAAGATCAAACCATCATCCGGCCCACCAGTACTGAAGCAGTCGATGCTACCGATCATATACCCACCATTCACATTACTAGTCCGAAACTACCGTTCCCATCCCACCATCCTCAGTGTACCAAGCGCTCTCTTCTACAACAACACCTTGATCCCAGAGGCACCACTACAAAACACCCCACTCCAACAGTCCGATCTCTGGCGCGGCCGCAAATGGCCCGTCCTCTTCATGCCGCACACCGGCCTCGACGAGATCGAACGCGACAACGGCGGCTGGTACAACATCTCCGAAGCGCGCATCGCCTGCAACATCGTCCAAACCCTCCACCGCTATTCCTCCGTCAAGCAATCAGACATATGCATCATGTCGCCCTTCGCCGCACAGGTCAAACTCCTTCGTTCAATGATCCGTTCATCCGAGTATGGTAGAGGCGCAGGATTATGGGACGTCAACATCGGTCCCTTGGAAGCTTTTCAAGGACTCGAGAAACGGGTCGTTGTGCTATGTACAACACGAGCACGAAAGAGGTTTTTGGCTAAAGACGAAAAGGCAGGCTTGGGTGTCGTAGAAGACGCAAGGAAAATGAACGTGGCTCTTACCCGAGCGAAAGAAGCGCTTTTCGTTATTGGTAACGTTGAGGTTTTGGAGCAGAATCAGCATTGGCGGCAGTGGATGGCGTTTTGTTGGCGGAACGGGCTGGTTAGTGATGAGAAGGGGGGTTGGGATGGGAGTACATTGGGAGGAGATGGGGACGAGGTCAAGATTGGCGTGCTGGAGAAGGCGTTGATTGCTAAGGAAGAGCAGGGGAAGCAGAGGGGGAAGGTGTTGGGTAATGGGGCGGGGATCCAGGATGTCGGAGAGTATGATGCCTGGGTTGAGAGTTTGAGGGAGACGCTTGGGGAAGAGGATGAAGAGTTTGAGGAGGGTGAGGGGGAAGCCGACTCAGGAGTTGATGATACTATCGCTGGCACTGAGGAAGAAGAGGTTGTGACGAGGACCGGCACTTTGGTGTCCAACTATTGAGGCGATGCTAATTGTTTGGAGCGCGAATCGGACTCCCTTGGAGCAGCGAGAAAGTAAGCAAACATGAGGAGGCCTAGACTTGTCACTGTAGTACTTACTGCATACACAGCCCTGTATGATTAACACAAATTGTTGGCAAGCTGCACGTGTATAACACCGTATGATTTTGATGTATGAACTACGTTCATTACGGGGTATCAATATGTCTAGTAAACATACTCCAACTCCTCAGAGGCCAAGCACGTTCGGCCCCGTGACCTGTACTACCCACGCCAAGCTACCATGCAATATCAGAACGCCTTTTCCTGCCCCTAGACCACCTAACCAATGATACCAATCCCGCTCCCAAGCAACTCAGCGAAAGACGCTATTCCACCACATCCCTCACGACACACCAAGCCTCTAGCCCTGGAACAAGAACCCCCTCAGCGCATTCTCAACCTGCTGATCGTCATATCCCTGACCTTGCAGCTGTTGAACCATCTGCTGCTGCTGAGCCATGCGTTGTGCTTGCTGCATAACACCATTCGCACCACCATACACCCCTTCCATCTGTGCCTGAGGCACATGCTGGGCGTAAGAACGGGACGGATCGTTCGAAGAACCTCCAGACATAGACATAGGCGGGCCCACAGAACCAGAGCCCGAACCAGCGCCAGAACCTCCACCATTCACACTCCCGCTCATACTGCCCGGCGGCCTGTTATACGCGTTCTTAGGCGGACGACCCATACCAGAGTAAGTAGGAGGAGGAACAGGCTGGCCTTTAGCCAACGCCGCCTTCTCCCTATCCCTCTTCTTCTGCTGTACGAGTGTGCCTTTGACACCCCTCAGGTACTTCATCGCCGCATCGACGAGTTCTTTCTTTTCAGGCGAGTTCTTAAGCGCCTCGAGCATCTCGCGGACTTGGGTTTCGGATTTGATGTGGGGGCAGGTGCGA